TTTTTTTGCCGGTAGCTCACAAAGTAGAATTTTTGCTCACAAGAATCCACAGCTTAGAGCAGTGATGGCGAACCTTTTAGAGACCGAGGGCCAAACTGCGACCCAAAACCCACTTATTTATCGCAAAGTGCCAACACGGCAATTTAACCTGAATACTGAGGTTTTACTGTAGGAAAAACAACTCATACATTAACTTAAGATGATCCAAACAAAGTAAGGAAAGCAATCCCAAATGCTTTCATTGACTTGCGGGGAGGGCGGGGTAAAAATGCTTAAAATAAAAATAAATAAATAAATAAAATTATTTGGCAGAGAATTCGACACTTTAATGATGGTCTGGGCCTGGCTGGGGCGATGGCACGCGTGCCCACAGAGAGGGCTCTGAGTGCCACCTCTGGCACCCGTGCCATAGGTTCGCCACCACTGGCTTAGAGGGAGCTTTGCCCCCCACTGTTACCACATGGTGGCAACTGGCGATCTTGATTGCCATTTTCTGTGCTTTATGAAGTGCCAAAACAGCCTTCACATCTAGTTTGGCCCCCACACAAATGAGGCATTTGGAGCCCCTTCCCTATGAGGAAAAGCAAAATAATGTGATTTTGCTGTAGCTTAGTTTAAAAAAAAGCAAAGTCCAAAGATGATGGGCGGGAACAGGGCTCTAGTCGGGGGGGAGCTCTCAGGTACGGAGCTCCGGAAGAGAACCTCTAGGGGGCGGGGCGGTCACGTGGTGAAGCCCCGCCCCCTTCTTTACCCCGCCCTCTGCTTCGATCCTCATTCCGTTTGGGAATGAGGATGAAGCAGGAGGGTAAGTAGCCGGGCCTTCCGACACACTTCCGGTGATGTCAGGGGGGTGTGGCCTTCTGTCACTTCCGGTGATGTCAGGGGGCGTGGCATATGCAAATAAGTTATGCTAATGAGTTATGCTAATGAGCTCCGGCAGCTCTTTTTCTACAACAAGATCCCTGGGCGGGAACATAATAGAGGTTTATAAAAGTATGCGTTGTGTGAAGGAAGTAGACAGAGAGAGCTTTTTCCCCCCCTTCGTTTCCCATGATTTTACAGCTCAGGTTCGCCCAATGAAATCCATGGGCGGGAGATTTCAGGGACGGCAAAAGGCATCTCATGACCCCAATTAACTGCTGGAGTTTTCACTGCCCCGGGATGTAGCGGTGATTCCTAGCCAGTGCTCCCTCTAAGCTGAGTTAGTGTGAGCCAGCGCACAGTTTTTCAGCCTCCAACTCACACATTTTTGTCTTCGCTCAGGAAGGATGGCTCCAGAGCAAACTAATTTATGCAACAGTCAAATCGCTCGCTCGCAACTTTAATGCCGGTAGCTCGAGGGAACACTGATTGCTCCTAGCCTATATGGCTAGACTCATCCATGGACGATAGGTCTTTCAGTAGCTGCTGGACATAATGGCTGAACCTCCGTCGCTCAGAGTCATTCTCCCTCTGAGCATTGGTTGCCGGGGGGGGGGGGTCAGCAGCAGAGGAAGGCTGTTGCCTTTGTATCCTCCTTGTGGGTTTCAACAGGTTTCTCTGGCTGCCGTGGGTAACAGGATGCTGGACTAGGTGAAGCCTAGATTCATGGAGGATAGGCCTGTCAGTGGCTACTAGCCCTTGTGACTAAAGGGGACCTTCACATTCAGAAGCAGTAAACCTCTGAATACCAGTAACATCAGGGGAAGGCCTCAATCTCTATGCCCAGTGGTTGGCCCTGCAGAGTAACTGGTTGGCCCCTGTGCGAGACAGAATGCTGGACGAGATGGACCACCGGTCTGATCCAGCAGGGCTCTTCTGATGTTCTTATGAAGGCCTCAGCCTCTATGCCCAGTGGTTGGCCCTGCAGAGTAACTGGTTGGCCCCTGTGCGAGACAGAATGCTGGACGAGATGGACCACCGGTCTGATCCAGCAGGGCTCTTCTGATGTTCTTATGAAGGCCTCAGCCTCTATGCCCAGTGGTTGGCCCTGCAGAGGAACTGGTTGGCCACTGTGTGAGACAGAATGCTGGACGAGATGGACCACCGGTCTGATCCAGCAGGGCTCTTCTGATGTTCTTACGAAGGCCTCAGCCTCTATGCCCAGTTGTTGGCCCTGCAGAGTAACTGGTTGGCCCCTGTGCGAGACAGAATGCTGGACGAGATGGACCACCGGTCTGATCCAGCAGGGCTCTTCTGATGTTCTTACGAAGGCCTCAGCCTCTATGCCCAGTTGTTGGCCCTGCAGAGTAACTGGTTGGCCCCTGTGCGAGACAGAATGGTGGACGAGATGGACCACCGGTCTGATCCAGCAGGGCTCTTCTGATGTTCTTAAGCTTTAGTCTGATCCGACAGAACTTTTTCTTACCTGGATGCATGAGAGAGAGTCGTCATGAATACAAAGGATGAGCTTGCCCAAACATCATGCCCACTGGGTATGTTCATTGTATTCAAGGAACGTGTCCCCATAGCCTCGGTGGCTGTTGGCTTCTCAGAATGTCACCACTGAGTCTGTATTACACAAGGAGACTATAAGACTGTGCGTGTCTGTTTTACCCCCTCCAGTGGAACTGCATTTCCTTATCCGTAGAGTCTCTCCGAAATGGCCTGGAGGGCTGTATGTCTTCCGTGGCCTAGACCTCCTGAACAGCTCTTAAACTTGTGCCTGGGCTTGCATGTCACTTGAGACTGCAGATGGGGAATTGAATGACTGATTGCTCCTTCATACCTCCCACACACACACAACCTGATTCCTCCGTCCTTGTATTTCAAGGAGAATGGCTTGGACCTAACCTTTTGCCTGCAATGCCAGTTTCAATGTGCAGGGAAATTTGGACCATGGATGAGCATTCAGTCCCGTAGATCAGTGGCTCCGAGTACTTAAAGCACTGTCTCCACCTGCCCTCTCTGATCCAGGACTGTTGACCCACACAGGACACGTTTCTCGGGGAGGCAGCCTCAATTATTTGCACTTTTATCCATGGCTCTTTTTGTAGAAAAAGCCCAGCAGGAACTCATTAGCATAATAGGCCACACCCAACAGCAGAAACCCATTTGGAATTATTAGGCCACACCCTATCTATGCCTTTCCTTGGGTTGCCCAGGCGCCCCGCAGCTGCGGGGAGCCTGGGCAAGCTCCCCCCCCCCTTGAAGGGAAGGGAAGGAAGTTTAAACTGCCTTCCTTTGGTTTGCCCAGGCGCCCCGCAGCTGCAGGGAGCCCGGGAAAGCCGGCCCTTGGACAGACCACAGAAGGCACAGGGAGGCATTTAAATACCTCCCCGATCCTTCCAGGGCCCACCTGGCCCGCCTGCATTTGAGTCACCGGGGGAGGATCGCTCTCCAGGACTTCCCTCTGTAGCCACACATGCAGAGGTTTGGCTGTAGTGGGTGTGGCCAGCTCTGAAGCCAGCCATAACTCCGTTCCTGTGCGTTCCTGCTCAAAAATAGCCCTGGAACTTTTATCTTTAACTTAACGGTGCTGGGGGCTGGGTCAGTTCATTTGGTTCCCCATTTCAGCCCTGACTGCCTTGATTTGGAGGGGGGCTTGTTAGTTACTTTGGCTTTTATTATAAACCGAGGGGTAATTTAGGGTTGCCAACTCCCAAGTTAGGAGAATCCTGGAGATTTGGGGGTGGAGCCTACCTGGGGAGGGTGGAGTTCACGGGGGGTGCTCAGCAAGGATGTGACGCCATAGAGTCCATCTTCTAGAGCCGCCATTTTCTCCGGGGGAACTGATGTCTGGCGATCCGTTGTAATTCTGGGAGATCTCGAAGTTCTGCTTGGAGGCTGACAGCCCTAATGTATGTATCTGTGTGCGTGTGCACACACAGAGTAAAATCGCATATTTGTTACTACTACACTCTGGGTTATCGTGACCATAATGCTTGTTGCTCTTGGTGGCATTTGGCCACCAAATGAGAAGGGAGCATTCACTGGAGAAGACCCTGCCGACCCAGGGCAGGTCTCTGCTGTTTGTTCAAAGAGAAGACCCTGATGCTTGGAAAGACTGACGGTCAAAGAAGAAGGGGACGGCTAAAGATGAGATGGTTAGACGGTGTCATCGATGCCGCGAACATGAAATTAAGCAAACTCCGGAACGTGACGGAAGACAGGGGGGCCTGGCGCGAGGTGGCCCACGGGGTCGCGAAGAGTCTGACTCGACTGAGCAACTGAACAAAGCAAGAAGGCATTTATAGCTGCTGCTTGTTGTGATTCTGTTGACTCGTTTTTTAAGTCCCTAAGCCGCCCCAAGAACCTTTTGATCAAGGGACGGGATTTAAAAAAATAAATAAATTCAAATTTTAATATATAAAAAAGATCTAGTCCGGCATCCTGTCCTCAACAGCAGACAGCAAGATCCCTCTGGGAGGGAGCTTACAAGCAGCTGTTAGAGGCTTCAGCCCTCCCTGGCCCGTTTGTCTCTAGTCCTTGGTAATCAGAGATCTGCTGCCTCTGAGCATGGAGTTTCCATTTAGCTAACTGGGCTAATAAAGGGCTGCGGTGGCTCAAGTGGTTAAGACACTGAACTG